GGGGTGTTCTGTTATCTTTTACAACAAACCATGGGGACCTTGGATCCTAGTATTCCAGGGTGGATGTTGCTGACATTGCTTGGGAAGCCCCTAGAAGCTAAGGTCTTGAGAGGCAAGTCTAGTGAGATATTTGTACTTGGAACTTGGTGAAACTGGTGCTGTATGGGAACTGAATTAAGCTATGAACCTAATTTCCCTCTCCTCTCCTCTCAGAGACTCAGATGGGATAGGGAGATTATGCCCCCTGAGGTGGATTGGGGATATGTTTATATGTTTATTCTTGCCATATCTTTGAGGTAGATATTCCTCTTTGAGGTAAATAAGAGCAAAATGATTGTTTTGTGGCTAAATGGAGCTAGGTTGCTTGTGGACCCCTAAACACAGTTGGTAGGATTTTGAGTCAATGGCACAAATAAGATATCCCTTCCTAAGATACATCTCCTAAGGGAATTAAAGAACCCTAGGGGAAGGGTGAAATGTAACAGACCTGGACTTCAGGCTGTGTGGGTCAGAAAATCACTGTGGCATATGATTCCTGCCATGCTCCCCACCCACCCAACTTCTTACACTTTACTCCCTTCCACACATTCTATGATCTATCCACACTGGCCTCTTTGAAGTTCCTCAAACATGGCACTCCATCTCCTATCTCCATCAGCCTTTTCACTGGCTGTCCACATGCCCAGAATGCTTTGGTGTTTTACCTGGTTTTCCTGGAATCTTTCAACATTCAGCTTAACAGGTCAAAACTTCCCTGCTGATCAGAAGCATTAGCAGCTGGGGTTTACACACACACACACACACCCTATATTACACACACAGAAGAATGTATATATATATATATATATATAAACACACACACACACACACACACATTTCAGACACCGCAAATAGTCTTTTTTTAGAATGCCAATTGACTAAAGAACATGAGCCTAGCTTGTGGACAGTCTTTTCTGTACTCATGATTGGTGTCTGACCCTCTGTGACCTCAACCACAGGTACTTGCTGTGTGGAGTAAGGAATACCTATGATGATGGCCTGATTCCCACAATTAATCTGAGGATAATATATAGACAATGACATTGCAAGACAGTGGTTATCTAAGGCTGGGTGGCGTGTTCAGATATGAATAAATATCATGATAATAAGCTTGATATGAGCTACTGTTATTTTAGTATGGATATTGTGGGGGGGGTTACAAAACCTTTTGAAGAAATAAAGAAAAGAGAAAAAAAGTCTGTTGAACATTTAGTAAGTACATCTCTGTCTCTATCTCTGTCTGTCTCCCTTCCTTCCCCTGCTCCCTCTCTCTCTCTTCCCCTCTTTCTGTCTCTCTCCCTTTCTGACTCCTCTCATTCTCTCTCCTCTCTCATTCATTCATTCTCTCTGTCTCTCCATTTCCCTTTCCCTCCCTTCCTTCCTCTGCCCCCTCCCGACCCTGCGTGCGCGCGCGCGCACGCACACACACACACACACACACACACACACACACACACACACACACCCATGGTATAGCGGAGAAACAGCTTCCCGAGAAGATCGGGAAACTCAAATTTCAGTCCTGCTTCTGACTCACTCTGTCTGACACAGGTCCAACACCCTGAGCCTCAGGGCTCTAGGAAACCCAAGATTTTTAAGCATAGAGAAGTTCGAAGGTTGCGTGACAGAGGGAGTTCCCTCACCTCACAGTTCCTTAAACTTATGAAATCCAGGTCCAGTACCTACCCATAAATAACTTTTAAAGTTCCTCTCCTTCTTAAAGAGATTGTAACAGTTTTTAATAGCCCTTGTAGCTTTTAAAGTAAATGTTTTATGTACACACATATGCACATGTGTATATACAGGCATACCTCATTTTATTGCACTTCATTTTATTACACTTTGCAGATAGTGCGGGGGAGGGGCTACGAGGAGAGAGGTGTTTAAAACAAATTGAAGGTTTGTGGCAATCCTGTGTGCCACAAGTCTATTGGCTCCGTTTTTCCAATAGCGTGTGCTCACACCATGTCTCTGTGTCACATTTGGATCATTCTCACAATGTTTCAAAGATTTGCATTGTATCTGTTGTGGCAATCTGTGATCTTTGATGTTACTATTGTAATTGTTTTGGGGCACCCCTAACTGTGCCCATATCTTAATAGATAAATGTTACATGTTCTGACATCTCCACCAACTGGCCGTTCCTGATGGCATGAGACTGTTTTCAGAAAGGAAGAGAATTCATCTGTTGTTACTTTGACACAGCTAAAATATTATACACAATTACCTGTTGTTGTTTTATTACAGACTTCATCATTAATAAAGATAGTTGTTAACTTTCAAATTTATTAATTATATATAATAAATTATATATATATAAAATAAATATAAGTCAATTATTAAAGGACATAACACAGAAATAGCTAGGTGGCACAGTGGAGAGGACACTGGCCAGGAATCAAGAAGACCTGGGTACAAATCCTGCCTCAGATACTTACTAGCTGTATGACTCTGGGCAAATCACTTCACATCTCTCAGCCTTAGTTCCCTCATTTATAAAATGGGTATATAATAGGCACCTATCTCACAGGATTGGCATGGGAATCAAAAAATACATATTATTATATTGTACATTGCAAACCTTAAAGTAGACAGAAATGTTGTTGTTATTATGAAAGAAAAGAGTAACTACTATTGGGAAAGGAAGTCTTTTCCGGTTTGTTAAATTAATAATGTTTGATGAACTGGAGTGGAAGGCTTTGAGCTTAGTTGATTAACTGGGAGATATGTTGAGACTTTATTTATTAATGAAGAAGTATACCAACAAGCCCCTATATTCCCCTAGAGCTCAAGATAACAAGATTAAATACAGAAATGAGGCAAGTGGCAGGATGACTTAGGGAAATAGACCCCAGATCCTGTGTAGCTTGTAATATGTGAGGACCCAACTTCCTAACTCTATAACACACATCCATCTATCTATCTATCTATCTATCTATCTATCTATCTATCTATCTATCTGTGTCTGTCCATCCAACCATCTATTCATCAATTGATCTAACTCACTCTCATTCTAATACAAAACTTTTCTGACTAAAATTATACCCAAAATAAAGCATTTAAGTACATAAGGAGTTCATTGATATAATATTTAACAGTGAATCTTATCTACTTTTTTTGTGTGTGATTTTTACCGAGAGGAAGCTTCTCAGTAAGAAAATATAATGATATGTTGCTTGGAGAAAGTGTGGCAACAGTTTTCTAGTAAGTCAGTCTTTTACTATTTCAGTACAGATCTCTGATGATATGTTACCTTCACTGAGGCATAAGCTTTTAGTTAATTATCCTTTTTATTTTTTGGCAACAACTTATTTTAAAAATGTTAAGAAGTATATGCTATGACCTACTTTACTTATTTTAAAGATAATACTTAAAACCACAAAATCATTCTCATCATTTTTCTAATAGACTAGATATAAACATGCTTCATCTGCAAAATGTATATCATTAAAGGAAAAACAAAATGTGGAAGGTATAGATTTTTTTTAAATTTAAAAATTTTTTAAAATTAATTTATTTATTTTTAGTTTTCAACATTCACTTCCACAAGATTTTGAGTTCCAAATATTCTCCCCATCTTGTCCCTCCCACCACCCCAAGATGGCATGCATTCAAAATGCCCCTTCCCTAATCTGCCCTCCCTTCTATCTCTTCCTCCGCCCCTTTCTCTTATCTCCTTACCCCTCAATTTTCCTGTAGGGCAGGATAGATTTCTGTACCTCATTTCCTATATATCTTATTTCCCAGTTGCATGTGAAAACAATTTTTTTTTAACCTGTGTTTTTAAAACTTTGAGTTCCAAATTTTCTCCCTTCCTCCCTCCTACTCACCCTCATTGAGAAAGCAAACAACTCGATATCAGTTATACATGAGTAGTCATGCAAAACACTTCCATAGTGGTCATGTTGTGAAAAACTAAGTATATTTCCCTTCATCCTATCCCCCCCCCATTTATTCTATTATCTTTTTTGACCCAGTCCCTCCTTAGAAGTGTTTGCTTCTGACTACCCCCTCCCCCAATCTGCCTTCCCCTCTATCATCCTCCTACTCTCTTGTCCCCTTCCCCCCACCCCCATTTCCCTGTAGGGTAAGATAGATTTCCATACCCAATTGAGTGTGTATGTTATTCCCTCCTTAAGCCAAATCCTACGAGAATAAGATTCACTCATTCCCTCTCACCTTCCCCCATTTCTCCTCCACTGTAAAAGCCTTTTCTTGTCTGTTTTACGTGAGATAATTTACCCCATTCTACTTCTCCCTTTCCCCTTCTCCCAGCATAATCATTTCTCATCCTTTAATTTTATTATCCAGATATCACCGCTTCCTCTTCAACTCACCCTGTGCCTTCTATCTATCTATCTATCTATCTATCTATCTATCTATCTATCTGTCTGTCTGTCTGTCTGTCTGTCTGTCTGTCTGTCTGTCTGTCTATCTATCTATATGCATACATGCATATAATTGTTTTTCCTCCAACTACTCTAATACTGACATAGGACTCATGAATTACAAATACCATCATTCCACGAAGAATGTAAACAGTTCAACCTTAATAAGTCTTTTATGATTTTCTCTTTCCTGTTTACCTCTTTATGTTTCACTTGAGTCTTGTATCTGAAAGTCAAATTTTCTATTCAGCTCTGATCTTTTCATCAAAAATGCTTGAAAGTCCTATTTCACTGAATATCCAGTTTTTCCCCTGAAGGATTATACTCAGTTTTCCTGGATAGGTTCTTATCTACTTTTAATAAATGCTAGTGAAATAGATCTGTACACAAGAGAAATTAGTTTGCATGCCTTATGTTTTGTATGTAGACCAACTTAACAGAAAGCTAACAAAATTCTCATCATAAAGACAACCCAGAAAGATTTGGATGTGGACTTTTGTTTGTCCATTTGCTTGTTTTTGCTGGAAGAGAGGAAGAGCTATGAGCAACTTCGAGGTCATTTGCTCCAAACCTACTTATTTGTAGACAAGACCACTAAGGCTAAGAGGGAAACAACCATGGTCTGGGACTCTAAGCCAAGTCCCTTCACTCAAAATCCAGTGTTTTGTCCATAAACCAGGCTGTCTTTTCAGACCTGGAAATGTACTTGAGGAATGAGGGTCAATTCAGAGCCCATACAGGCTGAAAGACCCATTGAGTTGCTGGAAGAGTGAACTCTGAAGAGTTCTAAGTGGGAAGGAAGGAGGAAAAGGCCTGAGTTGACAGCAACTCCATGAGATCACTGGGCTATAATAGGGCTGCCTTGAGAAACTTAGGCAGCTTGGAAAACCCTGTGGGATTGAACTAGTGACCACTCTCTTTCTAGCTATGTGTGCTGAGGTGGGGGGTGGGGTATGTGGGCCCCTTTGCTAAACCCTCACTCCATGGGAAAGGAGGAAGGAAATAAGCAAGTTTTAAACACCTATTATGGGCCAGGCACTGTGCTAAGCGATTTACAAATATTACTGCATTTTTTTTCTTCACAACCACCTAGAGAGTTAGGTTCTATTATGTCTTCATTTTCAATTGAGATAACTGAGGCAAACAGAAGTTAAATGACTTCCCAGTGTGAGGACAGATTTGAACTCAGCTCTTTCTGATTCCATATCCATGATCTATCCACTGTCCCACTTAGCAGGTGATGTTAGCTGTCAGGAAGTCTGGCCATATCTGCAGTAACTGTTGGGGCTGGAAGCGATGAACCAGGACAAGTTGGTGGAAGGCACAATGGTCATACTTCCTCCTGGACATCAGGAAGGTGTTGGGGGGAGGAGGTGTGGGCTTCACTCCAAGCTGTTTCAGGCACAACCCCACAAACACATCCTCCAAGTAGATGGCTTTGATTCCCTGAGCTACAGTGAGGATCCTGAGGGCCAGGGGGCCAGACATCACATAGCCAGCGCCTCCACAGTAGTCTGGATACTTGTCCTGGGAATACAACTCTCGGGGCACGTACCACTTGTGACCCCGTCTCCGCAAGGGGCCTGTGTTTCTGTAGATGTGGCCTGTGACGAAGTTGGGCCGCAGGGGTCCACTAGGCCGCAACACTTGCTGGACCAGGTAGCTGGGGTTTAGGAAGACATCACTATCCACCTTGAGCACATAGTGGGCAGTGGGACAGTACTGGGCCATCCATTCCAGCCCCATGAGGACCTTGAGAGTCAAGTTGCGGTATGTATCCAGGAAGCCCACCTGGAGGAGATCCCCATGCTCCCTGTCCTCCTCCTCCACGAGGGCCTGAAGTTCCTCAGCAAAGAGGGGTTGGGGTAGGCCAAGAACAAAGAGGCGGTGGATGACCACACCAGGAATCAAAGTCTCATTGCCCCATGTTTGCCGGATGGCATGGCGTATCCCCACGTCCTGGGCCTGGGTCATCACCAGCATGAGCAGGAAGGGCACACCTCTGAGATCTTCACACTTCTCAGGATGGTTGATCAGGAAGGGGTAGGGATAAGGGTATCTCAGGTCCAAGGGGTGTGGTGTCTGAGCCTGCCACTCAAACTTCCTTGAAGAGAGGCCCAGCAGGTCTTTAGTGGGAGCTTTCTGGGATGAGGGCCACAGAGCCACTGAAGGTACGCCGGGACCTTGCTGTTGATCTACCAGCAGCACCAACAGCCACATGAAAGCCGAACCCAGTAAAACCTTCAATATTAGCTGCCTCCCCATCTGCCTCGTGGTGCAAAAGTTCTGGTGAAGAAAGAGGAGGTTAGCATTGGGTAAGGAGTTTCATACATACCCCACCCCTAGGCCTCCTGCTCATTCTTCCCTCTCTGTGTGGACTACATGTTTCCTGGTTTATGGTGCCAGGATTTGCTGATCTAGGAATAGTGGGAGGGATAAAGGCAGGGGAGCTGAGAAGAGTTCATGAATTATCACACCTAATTGTACTAGGAACTATTGGACAAGGAAGGACTAGAGCTCTGCCTGTCACCTTCTGGAGACTGAGTTGTTAAGAATTGGAATGATTGGTGGTATTTGTCCTCATTTACTAAGATTCTTGCTTTGCTTAATTCTTCTGTTTGAAGTCCTTTCCCTACCTTACTGTCCCAGAGGCACTGATCAATTGGAGATGAGGTCTGATCCCAGAGTTCTTGCCCTTAAAAATCTGATATCTGTCCTGGAAACTGTTCTTGTCCCCCCTCCCCTCCCCTACCGCCCCCTCAGAAAAGGAGACAAATTTCTAGGTTATTGCCCTGAGAAGCCCAGGGGCTAGATTGGAGAAGGTCTCTGTGACACATGCCTGGCCCCTAATCTCAGCCCTAATTCCAGAGTCTGTTTTTCCTGAAGGTAAAGGCAGGCAGACCCAATGACTTGCACATAGTAGGAGCTTAATAAATGTTGAATTTAATTCTGTGCCCAAGAAACTCAGGGGCCTTGAGCTGGTCTCCTAGGTCCCTCTATCAAAGTCCCTTTTTTCTGTCCTTTCTCCTCTCACCAGCAGAGTACTCACCCTCTTCTTTGACAGGATGCCTGTGATGCCTCAGGACGACAACTCACAAGAGACTGACTGCCAGACTTTTGGCTAGGGAGGTACATGATATGGGAGGAATGTGGAGGTGGGAGGGGTAGGGCACCTACTGAGTCCAAGTTCATCTCAAAGTATGGGGCAGGGCAGATCACCCAGGCAACAGGGCAGGAAGGTCAGGCTAAGCTTTCTGGAACCCATGTGCTCGAGCCCATAGATCTATAGCTGAAAATAACTTCAGAGGTCCCATGACCCAACTCTTCATTTCACAGCTGGGGAAACTGAGACCCTTGAAATTTAAGTGATTCATCTATTGATTGAAGGTCATGGATCCTTTACTCATTTTAAAGCAACTGACAACTACACAGTAATTAGTCTTAAAGTACACTTTCAAAATTATAAAATGTATCCGTAACAGATTTATGAAGTGACCTAACAAAAATCTGTAAAATATTAACGAAACATGGAACCTATCATTCTAAGGCAAACATAAAAAGATTAACATTTACACATCAAAAAAAGAAAGCGAGAGATTCTTTTTTTCTTAAATTTTTTTTTAGGTTTTCAACATTTACTTCTATAAGATTTTGAATTCTAAGTTTTCTCCCCTCCCTCCACTCTCCCCTCCCCAAGACAGTGTACAATCTGATATAGGCTCTACTTGTACAATCATATTAAACATATTTCCACATTAGTCATGCTGTAAAGAAGAACTAGAACCAAAGGAAAAACCATGAGAAAGAAGACACACACACACACACACACACACACACACACACACACACACACGAGAAAATAGTATGCTTTGATCTGTATTCAGACTCCACAGTTCTTTCTCTGGATGTGGATAGCATTTTCCATTGTAAATCTTTTGGAATTGTCTTAGTTCCTTGTATTGCTGAGAAAGCCAAGTCTATCATAGTTGATCATAGCACAGTGGTGCTGTTACTGTGTACAACGTTCTCCTGGTTCTGCTCACTTCACTCAGTATCAGTCCATACAGGTCTTTCCAGGTTTTTCTGAAGTCTGCCTGCTCATCATTTCTTATAGCACAACAGTGTTCCATTACATTCATATACCACAACTTGTTCAGCCATTCCCCAATTGAAGGGCAGCCCCTCAATTTGCAATTCTTTGTCACCTCAAAAAGAGCTGCTATAAATATTTTTGTGCATGTGGCTCCTTTTCCCATTTTTATGATCTCTTTGGGATACAGCCCTAGAGTGATATTGCTGGGTCAAAGGGTATGCACAGTTTTATAGCCTTTTGGGCATAATTTCAAATTACTTTCCAGAATGGTTGGATCAGTTCACAACTCCACCAGCAATGCATTAGTGTTCCACTAGGGGAGAGAATCTTGATAGACATTCTCAGAACACATAACATAGAAGTTAAAAAAAAAATTAAAAACCAGATATTGTTTAGTTCAATGAGCACTGGATTTACCAGATATAACTGAAAGTGACTCGCTTCCAAATGGAGCCTATGAAATGAGAAAGATCCAAGAGAGAATGTTTAAAAATGCACTGAAGAGAACAGAAGAAAGTGATGGGGTGCTTGGGTGCTTGTACTTGGACCCCAATTTCTCCCTAGCCTCAGAAATAGTATCCCTGACAGTTTCTTCCCAGCCCAAGTACACTGTGCTTAGCAATTACTCATGAGTGGGCCCCAGCAAGACCCTTATCTCTTTCCCTGGTGCAGTTCCAAATAGCATGTGAAGGAATTACTAGTTTAAAAGGGCTTTGCACTGGGTCATAAAGACATTCTTAGCCACTGGACTATCCATACTATCGCCCTGCCTCATTATCTACATCCTGGACTCCTCATTAACTGTGTTCTAGACTTAAGATATATGTATACTCCCTACATCTATCTTGTCAAACAAGACATTGATTGGTGGCAGAGTGGACAACTCTCTGTTACCCCTGAACTCTAGTAGCAGGCCTAAAACCACACCTCCATGTGGTCCCCCTTGTGGGCCTTTCCTAGTGAACTCTGGGTAAAACACCTGCACAGTAGGTACAAGAAGTGCATGTTCTTTTAAGAACTGACCACTCCTTAATCCCACCCTGGATCACCTAGTTAGCATATTTGGCACATGTTCGATTGTATTTTATCCTATATAAACTTTAACTGTACCAGTTTAAGATTGCAGGAATCCTTAAGAGTCCTTGCCTGCTGAAAAGTGTAACAATAAACTGTGCCACTTTGACTTAAAGAATGCTTGAGTCTGTGAATTCATTCCAGACGACCCATAGTGTACTTCAGTCTTTGAGAGGTCACAACCTCTCAACCTCTCATACTGCAACAAAAGTACAGAAGGAACCACAGAAAAGTAGGAAAGCTTTGAAAGTAATGGTGGATTTATGATATTCTTTGTATTTTTTTGCATGAAAAACTAAGAATCTTAGCTTTTAAGTATATAATAAATTCAACATGTAACTGTCAAAGCTGCACTACCTATCTGAGATTTTTTCTGGCCTTTCTGTTTTCTCAGGTGTATTTTTAAAAAATGCTTTAATGACCCTCTTTTCTTCCATTATTTTTGGGGCTCCCTATCCTTACTCCCTTCTCCTTTCCATCCCTCCTTTCCTCCAAAAAATGTAAATGAAAAAAGAGGAACAAAACCATTGTAATAAATATGCATAGTTAAGCAAAATGCAATCCCATACTGGCTGTATTCAAAAATTTATGGCTTATTCTTCATCTTAGTTTATCACCTCTTTGTCAGGAGGCAGGTGGCGTACTTCATCAGGGCTCTGGTATTGAGGATAGTGCCTATGTCCTTTTCCCAGTTTTTATCCTTGACCTCTCAGAAACTTTTAATACTGTTGACCATCCCCACCTAGATATTCTTTCTTCCTGTTGCTTTTGTGACACTTCTCTCTTTTATTTTCCTTCCAGTCTGTCTAGTCAACAACCCAAACCCAATATGTCTAAAACAGAACTTAACAGCTCTTCCCCTTACACCAGCTCCTTCTTAAATTTCCCTCTTTTTATTAATCACAGTCCCAAGTGCCAGATTCATAACCTTGGAATAGTCTTAGACTCTTTCTTTTCTTTGTCCCCCTTAACCAATCAATTACCAAATGTGGTTGACTATATCTCCACCAAAACTCTTGCAACTATCTGCTTTTTACTCACAGAACCACCATCCTCATTCAGTCTCTCATGACCTCTTGCTTTACTACTTTTTAAACATATCTATGTATATGTATATTTATATGTATATATATGTGTATATAATTTTTCAATAAGCAAAGATCTGCCCTCTTACCTTCCTACCCCAACTCTTCCTTCTCCACTTGAGAACAAAAGAAAAACAGACCCCATTAAAACATGTATAGTCAATCAATACAAATTTCAAAAAAAATATTGTCTCATTCTACACTCTGAAGCCTTTACATCTCTATTGGGAGGTAGGTAATATGTTTCATCATTAGTCCTCTGGAATCATGGTTGGTCATTACAGTGGTAAGAGTTTCTAATTCTTTCAAAGTTGTTTGCCTCTACCATATGGTTATTACTGTATAAATTGTTGTCCTGGTTCTATTCACTTCACTCAGCATCAGATCAAAAAAGTCTTCCCAGGTTTCTCTGAAATCATCCTTTTCATCATGTCTTACAACACTAATTTCTTAATTTTCCCTAATCTTCCTTTCTGTACTCCCTTCCAGTGTATTCCCCTTCTACTCTCTTTCTATTTTTCTCTCAAGATCACCAAGACATAACGAACCACTCCTGGGCCTTAGCTAATTGGACTCTCTCTTGACCCTGATGATGATAGGACTCATGGGCGAAACAGGTATCATTTCCTTATATTACAATGTGAGCAGTTTATCCTTGTTTACTCATTGCTCATTCATGTGTACCTTTTTATGCTTCTCTTAACGACTGTGTTTGAACTTCAAAGTTTTTAAATGGCTCTGGTTTTTCCATCAGGAATGCTTGGAAATACTCATTATTCCTCATTTCTTCCCTATTGCATTATACTTGGTTTTGCTGAGGAAGTTGCTCTTGGCTGTAAGCCTCTATCTTTTGCCTCCTGGAATATCATATTCCATACGACTTTATAGTGATGGCTGCTAAACTGTGTATGATCCTGATTGTGACTCTTCAGTACTGTGACATTCCTTTTTCCTGGCTGTTTGTAATGTTTTTTCTTTGACTTGGAAGCTCTGGATGGTCATTTGTCATGTTCCCGGAAGTTTTCATTTTGAGGTCTCTTTCAGGAGGTGTCTGGTATATTCTTTTTCGTTCCACTCTGCCCTCTTGTTCTAAGAGATCTGAGTAGTTTTCTTTTAAGATTTCTTGAAAGATGATGTCTAAGTTCTTCTTTCAGTCATGATGTGCAGATAGTCCAATGAGTCTTAAATTTTTTCAATTTGATCCATTTCCAGGTCTGTTGTTTTTACTACAAGATATCTTATATTTTCCCCTATTTTTTTCAACTATTTGACTTTGTTGACTATTGTTTTTTGGAGTCATTGGCTTCCATTTGCATGTTTAATCATTGTTGAGTCATGTCTCATTCTTCATGACCCCATTTTCTTGGGATTTTCTTGGCAAAGATACTGGAGTGGTTTGCCATTTTCTTCTCCAGCTCATCTGACAGATAAGGAAACTGAGGTAAACAGGGTTAAGTGAATTGCCCAGGGTCACACAGATAGTAAGTGTCTGAGGTCACATTTGAACTAAGGTCTTCCTAACTCCAGGCCTGGCACTCTATCCACTGTGCCACTTCTCTGCCCTTGTGCAAGGTCACACAAATATTAAATTGCAGAGATGAGATCCGAAGTTAGGTCCCTTGGTTCATGGGGGACTACTGAAGGTTTCTGAAGAGAGTGGCCTGCTCAGATTTGTGCTTTATGTTAACAGCTATGGGAAGAATGGATTAGAGAGGGGAGAAGCTAAAATCAAGAATTCCAGTTTAGAAAGTATTGTTATCTATGGCCCAGAGGCCTCCTCCCAGAAAAAGCCTCCTCTGGACTTTCACAAAGGCTGGATTAATCCTGGGGATGGCCT